CTGCTCCACAGGCTGCTGAACAGTTGGAGGGCGCATGCGCAAAAGCGCAGCCGGAAGCCACCAAGAAGTGAAAGGAAGGAGGGAGGTCGCTGCGTGATGCTGCCTCTTGTGGAGGGGAGTGGAACTGCAGCTTCACCCCTACTTACCAGGGCTGTAAAGGACCAATCAACTATCCAATAAGCAAATGCTTATCAAATATCAGTAGACTAGCGGATTCCTCCCCTTGCTGTCTCTATCAGATAGTGGCAGCCAAGGGGTGGGAACAGGGGGTACTTCAAAGTGGCAGCACCGCACAGCGATCCCGGGCTCTAGCACGGCATTTCCACGGGGAACAGCTAGGGAGTCCCCAGCTGACCCTGGACTCTGGGGAAATGCTGCGTTGAACCGGCGGTCAGGTGGGGAGCCTCCCCACTGACCCCTGCTCTACATGGCATTTTAAATCGGCAGCTCAACATAGAGCCCGGGGTCAACGGGGACCCTGAGTCTGCTCCTGTCTCCAGGCTCCATGCTGCGCTGATTCTTTAAATGCCCAAGAGCCACTGCTGGGGACTCTTGTGCATTTCAGAGCTGGCACACCACGTACAACCCAGAGTAAGCGGGACTTCCCGCTGGCCCGGGCTACATGTGGAGTTCCAAATTCCTCCTTTGAAATGTGCAAGTGCCTATTGACTAGTTGAGTAGTCGATAGAAATTCCATCGCCTACTCAACTAGTCAATTAACCGTTACTTCACATCCTTAGTTGTTACTTCCCAACCAGCCCCGAAGTGCTGCTGACCAATGAGTCAAGAGAGTGTGAGACTGGTCAGCGGGACGCTCTGGACACCACATGCCGGACGCTCTGCACACCCATGAGCTCATAAGACTCCAGCAGAAAGGAACTTCAGAAACTGTCTCCATCAGGCCACCCCTGATTCACCCAGCCTGTCAATGCACTGCTGTCTACATCCATTATTACCCAAACCCTCACCCACACACTCAGTGTCACACTAATACATCCACTGTCACCCAGTCACCCACACACCGAGTGTCACCCCGGCCCCAATACATCCACTGTTGCCCAACCCTCACCCACACACTGAGTATCACCCTGGCCCCTATACATCCACTGTCTCCCAAACCCTCACCCACACACAGGGCTGGATTAAGGCATAGGCTAGCCACGCAGCTGCCCGGGGCACCAATCTATGGGGATCGTGGGCTGCAGCAGCTCCCAGCAGCCACCGTGCAGTGGCCACCCAGGGTGGGGCCACATTAACCCCCGCAGCGCCGGCCAGCAGCACCCTTCCCCTTGCAGCCGTGGGGCCCTGAACGGCCAGGCTTGGCCCGCCCCGGGCAGCCCCGGGCTGCGCGCCAGCAGTGGTAGCTGGGCTGGGCCGGGCTGGGCCCTCCCCCAACCAGGGGCGCAATTAAATTGTCTGCCCAGGGCACTGGAATGGCTCAGTCCGGCCCTGCCCAGACACTGAGGGTCACCGCACTAACACACCACTGTCATTCCGTGTACATCCACTGTCACCATCCCCTCCCCTATACACCGAGAGTCACCCTGATACATCCACTCTCACCCAAACTGTCACCCACACACTGAGTGTCACCCTGGGACCAATACATTCACTGTCATGCTGCCGTACATCCACTGTCACCATCCCTTCACCTGTACACTGTAACCCCACCAACACACCACTGTCACCCTGTACATCGACTGTCACCCTAACATTCACCCATATGCTGTCAGGTGAGGGCACAGGTGACTCTGCATGGTACCCTACAGACACTACCCCCTGAAACTCCTGCTGGCCTCAATTGCTGGACAACGGGAGCTGTGGAGTGGAGCCTGCAGGTGGGGGAAGTGCTTGGATGGAGTTTCCGGCACTTGCAGCTCCAATTCAACATGGGAGAGGATGAGAACAGCAGTACATGGAGCCGCCTCCCCCCCCATAAGATAGGGTCAGAATGCAGCGGTTTTAGTGGCTGAAACTTGGGGCCCAGTGATAAGGGGACCCTGCAAAAACATCTGCATTTTTGGTTGCCCAGAGATCTTATTTATTTATTTAAATATTTTACCCTATTTAAAATATTCAAGGCGGCTTACAAGAACAAACAAACAAAAATACAAATATATATACAAATTTAAAATATGAGAATTTAAAATATGAATTTTTGCAGGGCCCCTTTAGCCTGGGGCTTTCCCTTCCTTAATCTTGCTGCCAACATACCACTGGCACTACGAGTACATCCATTGTCATCCAGTTCTTCACCAATACACTGAGTGACACCCTTACCAACATAGCAGTGTCAACTAGGGATGTTAAATATTGAGTAATTGACTAGTCGATTAGTCAATAGGGCACCTCCTCCTTTGAAGTGTAGCAACAGCCTTAGGACAACAGGACTCCCCTGCTAACCCCTGGCTCCATGTGGTGCTGCCACTTTGAAATGCTGTGGGGAGGTCGGCGTCAAGCTGCACCTGGTATTTCAAAGAAATAGCAAACTTGGAGAAAACTGCATTTTTGTTTTAAGTTTTACAGCGCTTTATTATTTTTGTACTTTTTACACCCAAAAATGTAATTACCCATTCTTTGGAGAACACAAAAAGTGAGGGGCGGTCAGTCATCCATGCAGACTCTGTCCTTGAGGCCGTGCCCACCTCTGTGAGCAGTGACAAACAGTCCTCGGGCCAGAGGAGGGGAATGTCCCAGGAACAAAGCTATGTGTGGCCTCCACAGCAGGCCCTGCCTCACACGGGCCCTGAGGTGCCCAGGGAAACATGCTGCCCGCTTCCCTCCCCCCGACGGACAAGCAGGCAAAGGAAGTGTTCAGTCACTGTGGGATCCCATGGGTGGCAGAGGAACCTGGAGCAGCCTGGCCTTCCCTGGGGCTGGCACACACACCTGTGGCTCACAGCGCTGTCTGCTGGAGTGGGTGGTGCCTCGCACGTGCAGGTGTGCCTGTGTGCTGTGTGTGGGATCCTTGGTGTGTCTGGGGTTGTGCCTGCGCCCTTGTGGCTAGCCTGCTTCCAACCGTGTCAGGCAGTGGAAGGGCTTCTCCCCACCCAGGGCCAGATGTGTGTGTGGCCTCCCCTGAGCCTGGGAGCAGGAGCCTGGAGGTGCTCAAGGGCTGCCTGCTGAGTCCGCATCATGCACAATAAATCTGCACGTGGTTCCACATGTATAGACTGCAGCATGATGTCCAGCCTGAGAGGGCCAAGCGACGCTCACACACCATCCCCTCTGTGCCCGCCTCCCCCACCCCGTGTGTGTGTGTAAAACTGAGAGCACTCACCTGAAGATCCCTCCCCGGCGTCAGACGATGCCTGTGACATGTCCAGGCTCATGAGTACCAGCTCCAGGGACAGTGTGACTGTGGTTGCTGTGTCCTCCTTCTTCTCCTCCTCCTCTGTCTTGAGGCCGGAGTCGATGACTAAGGGTGTGTGTGTGTGTGTGTGTGTGTGAAAGGGCTTCCCCACCCCCCAGGATCTGGTGCAGCTGGTTGAAGTAGGGGCAGGAGTGGGGTCCTGCCCTGGAGTGTGAGCTGCGTTCTCTGGCCCTCGCATAGCCCTGGTGGAGCTCCTTCACCTCACACCAGACCCGTTCTAAGGTCCGGGGTGGGTGTCCCCACTCTGCCAGGGCCTTGGTCATCTGGCCATAAATGTCCACTTTGCGTCGGAGATCCTGTAGGGTTTCCTCCTCTCCCCCACAGCTTGAGGAGGGACAGGATCTCCACTCCAGACCAGGAGAGTACCCGCTGCTTGGTACCTCTTGGTGGGTCCTGGTCATGCTCCCTGCAAGGGCCAGGAGGGTATCTGGGGGCTTGTGGCTGAGCCATGGGTGAGGAAGCCGGTGGCAGGGAGAACCACGTGATCAGGGTGCTGCTCCAGGGCCAGCTTTCTGCCACAAGACTTGTCCAGGGTGCCTGCAGCTTTAAGAGGTGCCAAGAGTAGGGTACTGGGAATATGGCAAGGGGGTAGTATCAGGAAATGAGTAATATTGGGAGAAAGGTTATGTCACAGATAATTATTGTGACAGGGTAACATTGGGAGATAAATGAGGTGACAGTTACTGCAACAGTGAATGGGGGAGTGAATAGTAGATGAAAGGGGGAGTGTAGGGGCTGGCATTAGGTGTATCAGTGAGTGGTGGGTCTGACACTGGGGGTCTGTCTACACTGCAGAGTTTTTTTGGAAAAATGGCCATTTTTCCAAAAAAACTCTGCAGTGTAGACAGACCCCCAGTGTCAGACCCACCACTCACTGATACACCTAATGCCAGCCCCTA